TAGGCTAGAATAACTACTGTTTTTAGAGAACATCCCAGAAAAAGAATGGTTTTCATGATTAAATACTTTTTTTTCAATGAGAAATACATGTACTACTTTTAATGACTAATGTTTTGGTTGTGTTCTTTTTCTTGCCATTCCTACAGGCTACAGTGGTCAGTGACGATAAAATATTAATATTTATTATTTGCTCTTTTTTTTTTTTAATAGATATCAGTAATATTGATATTTTGTAGGTATCAATATTAGCTTTCGATTCGATACCAAGTAAAAGTATCGAAAAAAAATGTTTCGATATAACATCCCTACTTCAAGTGTGGACCATGGCAAATTTTATGCTTAGCAGATCACATTTTACAAATTAGAGTGAATTTTCTCTTAAAAAATTTAAAGGTAAGATTATTATCTAAGCCACTCAACATTTTTTGATTCACACCACTCCCAAAATAATTTATTTTGATGATACAAACCCCTTCTTACCAACATTATATTTCGAGGGGTAAACCACTCTTGGAAATCAGCATGGGCGTAACTAGGATTTAATAGCTACAGGGGCTAGAGTCCTAGAAAACCCAAGTCCAAGATAATTTGTGGGGGGCTTTGCCCCCCACACCCCCCCCCCTCCAAGCATCCCTAGCATTTAGTAATCACAAGTCCTCTAAAATCAAAATTTAAAATAAACCATAGAATCAAAGTATAACCTAGTCAATAAAAACAAATTTACATTATAATTTATAACTGTATACGCCTATATTTTGATGAAAACAGTTTTAAAATATCATCATCGTTTATTACATTAGATAGTTCTCTTTCTATATTAAGTATAGCCAGATCACTAAATCTGTTTTGGGTCATAGTTGACCTAATGTATGACTTAATTCTCCTCAATTGTTTGTATATCTGGTAAGACTTTCATTGATGATTGGTTTTTTGGTGCATCATTATTATTTTTCTTAGCACTACTTGCTTTTGATTCAAATATGCTGAACATTTTAATAAATAGGTAATGGGTAAATTCAATAAATTTAACATATACGCAAAAAAAAATAGTTGTTACTGAGACACTGTCTAGTACACTAATTATACCAGTAAATAGTAATACCTATTCGCAGTCTGCACAGACGCATGTCGCATAGAAAATATTATATAATAGTACTATAATCACTAACCAGTAACTGCTGTACGATATAACTAATATGACTATACAAAAATACGCTAATACGGGTAGGTACTAGGTACCCATTTAAAGATAACAAATATAATAAGTGGGTTTTGGTCTTCGGGACATACAATACAATCCTATAAATAAAATACTTTGTGTAAAACTTTTAACTGATAAACAATCATAATTCATAATAAGTCTCATACCCGCGTCGTACATTCAATAGTTAATGTACCATATTTAGCCATATGTGAACAATACCTAATAATTTATATATTGTGATATGTCATTACTCATTAGTATTTATTGACTCAATACAATACGTCAAGACAATTTCTTCCGCTATAACTATAGGTAACCAATTACTTATAAATTTGTTTTTGGTACATCCACAATAAAACAATATCAATATGTATAAAATATTAATTATTAATTATGACTATTATGAGTTATGAGTTATGACATATGAGTTATTTTAAACATTTTTTTTCTTTTTTTTTCGGATTTGGGTTTTAGCTACAGGCTCGATTTGAGGCTAAAATGTAAAACCTTCTAGGGGGGCTAAATACAACTGCAGGGGGGCTAAGCCCCCCCTAGCCCCCCCCTATTTACGCCGATGGAAATCAGTGAACAAATGTTTGGAAATCTGTGGTAATCTTTGGAAATCTCTGGTAGCTTTTTGAAATTTAGAATTAATTTTCGATGTTGCAAATATCAGTTGACATAATCATATTATAATTTTGATGAATTAATTTAAAATAGGTACCTAAGTGTATAAGATTTAAATTAGTATCCTATTTAAATGCAAAACACTTGATATTCATTTGTCTGATGATTCTGAATAATGTCAACTACTTGTGAGTTGTGATTGTATCGTTTAAATTGTCCTAAATATATAATTAGGGGGTAGTTCAACATGAAAATAACAGGGGGGTAAACCACAAGCGGAAGTAGGTGTACAAATATTAGGAAATACTTTGAAGTACATTGAATAACACGGAAGTACAAGGTAATAAGCGGAAGTAGTTGGAAGTACCGAAATTAAATTATTATTATTATTTTTATTGAAGAAAACATTGTACCCCCGCTCTTTGTCTTAGGTATTATAATGTCTTATATATAAATATCCAGACACAATAATAAATAAGGAAACAAAATATAAACGGACTACAGATAAAAAAAAATATATATAAATACATATAAGTCTTACAGATATTGACATAGAAGAAATTTTAGAGAAAAGCTTGGCTGATACCAAAGAAGAAGCATGAAACTTAGGCATGTAAATATTTGATGAATCAATTAACCAGCCCCAGTTTTAAAAATAAATTAAATGAAGACCAGAATTCAAGCGGTAAAGAAAGGGATGATGACTATGAAATGTGTGAAACACAAAGTACACCTGAAATATCAGATGGCATTTGTTCAGACCTAAGTAATATTTCTTCACTTATAAATATTGGTGAAGACTTAGCGCTTAAGAATTTCACAAATAGTTCATCCTTTTCAAACTAAATGAAAGTACCGTCTGTAAGTTTAAACTCCAATGCCAATGTAGAAAATGGACCATTCATAAATATTTTACTACATAATAATAAGAAAATGGTAATTAAAAAATCAAGTTTTTGTTGGCATCTGGATGATAAAACTAAATGAGTAAGGTATTATTATATTTAAATAATTTATAGATTTTTATAGTTGATATTTATTTCACTGTTAAACAATATTATTTTGATTTTAAATATAGTAATTACTAATTATGAGTATTTTATAATTTACCTATATCTGATAAAAAAATATAACAATGTTATTTTTTTTTTAGAATATATTTTATCCGTAATAAATGTACACAATAGCCAATAGGTAATAGGTATGGGAGGGGGGTAAGTATACAGGACTGAACAGCATGATAGGAGGGGGTCCCCAATTTATTTTTTTTTACTGAAAATTTTTGTTCATATATTTTGTTTATGAGCTAAGAAATAGAAATTGCATCAACCTGCATTACCCGAAGAAAAATGTACATTTAATAATTAGTTATGTAACTCTTTGAGTAAATTGTTGGTAAATTAATAATTTATAAAATTAATGCTATAAATATTTACCTTATTCCATAAAAATTAATTTGTGAAGATATCAAACATTGATCAATAAATTAAAAATTATAAATAATAGATAGGTACTATCAATGTTTATTGTATTATAATAATACCTTTTTTTTTTTTTTGTTGAATCGCGGCGCTACAGGGAGGCACTTCATCCTGGATAGTCCTTCTCCCTGTATTATAATAATACCTAGATACCATGATACTGACTATAATCTTAATAATCCTCCATAAGTAAATAGCCTGAACATGAATATCTAGAACTGGTATATTATGCTAGGTATAAAGCTGTACAGCTATAATAATAACAGTATTCTGACTAGCATATTTTAAAATTAAAGATAGCCCCAACATATATTCATAATACCTACCTAATAAAATTAATTATTATTCTTTTAAAATATTCAGATTATCATACAGGGCTGAAATGTATATATTTTATACTTTTTATTATAATGGTAATCTTTGGAAATCTCTGGAAATCTGAAATCTGGTGTACACATTTTTTAATAGTGGTTTACCCCTCGTTATATTGTGGGTTTATAATATATACTAATTATTGGCGACCCCCTAATACAATTTTGAGATCCTCTAGGGGGTTGGGAACCTTAAGGTTGCGCATTACTGATTTAGTCATCTAGGCTATGTCATTTTCAGTGATATGCTTTTTATTATATTTTAATTTTAGAGCGACTTATGAGTATTTTAAGATGTATAAACAATTTAAAATTTGGGAGTGAATATTTTACTTGGTACCTATCAAAATTAAAGGTAAGAACGTAATTTGTTCTTTTGTTAGGTTTTTACATTGTTTTATTATTTTAAGTGACTTATGAGCATTTTTAAATATTAATATTTTACATTCTAGTTACTAATTTATAACTAGGCCTCGAATTTCGGTGCATTTGCATATTTTTTCTGAAATGTTTGACATGATGCTTTCCAAGATACAAAATATGTATTATCAAGTACACACTATGCTAACAACAAACTTTTTTATTCATTTTTCGAGGTTTTTGACGTTTATTGTTCGTATGCATAGTCAATTTATGTGTCGCATAAGACATAAATTGACTTGCATTTTTAAACGTTTTAGGGCATTATTTATTTTTATAGGTAATTTTTAAGTTTTTAATATATTTCTATATAACATTACGAACATAATAAATTTAAAATATATAAAAATTACACATATTCACATGTTGTGCTAAGACTAAAATAAGGTAATCTAGTTTTTAAATAAAACGATTAATAAATTTACCTTGATTTCTGAAGAAATTGGTGGTCAATTACATGTTTTTTTTTAGGAATTTCTTTTAGAGGTTTTAATTTTATCATAAATGCATTTTTCTATGTTTTTAAGTCATTTTAATCCGAACCATACTCATTACTAGTCATTAGTCACATATATTGCGGGAGATAGGTAGGTAGACTTAATTATTTCAGATTAAGAGGACGCTATACTGGAATTTGCCGCTTACAACTTACAAGTGCGTAACATCGCTAATTTACGCTCAGCAGTCCATGTTTAGCTTAATAGCTTTGTTAATTTAAAAATTGTTAAAAACATGCCTACATTGCGTATTGATGGATTTTTTACAAAGATTCAGTTTTTAATTATTAGCGTTTTTAATTTGCGCTATTTATACAGAAAATTTTCTAAAAATTTGAACTACCATAAAAATTAAAAACCCACATATGAACACAGATAACAGTTTCTTAACTAAGATGAAATGGACTGGACATCGGAAAAGTGGAAACGAATAAAAGATTCGTTAAGACCGAACTGGCGGGCGGGTGACAGGGATCCTGCTGCCTGGCCAGATTTATCAATCTGCCTTGGTTATTACTTATTGCTACTTATTTATATTAACCGAGCCAACCTAGGTACTCTATTATTTTACTCTAATATTTAAACTTGACCGGTTGAGCACGAATTTGGGATGACACGCATTTGTAAGACCGGCGACAAATGAGTGAGTAAGGTCCTCTTAAAATGTAAATTATGTTTAAAAAAATGAAATAAAATAGGTGGAGTCTACAGGATACGAATATAAGACCCCTGGTAAAAACTAAAAAGGTTAGACCTTAGGATTGTTCGAATCACGGACTAAGATAATATCTAAGATATCATATCTTCGATGGATAGTTCGTGGTTTGAATCACGAACTACTACATAGGACCGTACCGGACACTTCTTGATCTTGATGGAGGAGGGTGGGACACCGGTCGGCGGTCACAAAGTTGTACGGGCATGTACGTTTGCGACTGTGATGCTACCTAGTGACGTACTAGATTTACTACATATTTTCTTACCTATTTAACTTTTATGAACGTAAATACGTAATATTTATATTATAATATAGACTTATGAAATATGTAAAAAAAATAAAAACAAATCCATTAACTTAATGAATATTATTTCAATTTTGTTTCTATATATTTCTATAAGGCAAATGTAAACTCTCCTAAAAAATTAAATAGTAAATTCCCCAGATTCCCCTAATAGTAAACTCCCCTAAAAACATTTTGCTATCGTATTACGCTTACGTAAACTCCCCTAAACAAAATTAGAACCATTTAGCGTAACCCAGTGGACACCAAGTGGAGGCGGTTCTAGTTATCCTAAGGCACTATACCTAGTGCTCTAGTTATCCTACAAAAATATTTTTTTTTCTTTATAGAAAAATTCAGCTCTTAAGAAAAATTCATATTCATCGTCATTCTAGTTTTATTAAAATTATTAAGTATTGATTGTAGATATTATAGAAGTTGATTATTTTTTGATTGAGTATTAATGTGAAATTGTTTTTATATAATTAAATTTAGTTATTTTTTGATCTTTATAATTTTGTATTAGCGGGTTTAATAATTGTTGTCGTCTTTTTAACTTATTATTATTATCTATATACCTAGGTATTATATAATATTATATTATATCTTGTATTAATATCTCAGCAAATATTTAATCATAATATCATAATATTTAATCATAATTATGCCCTTGCGACGTTGAAATTTTAATAAATAACGTGTACCTACACACGTAGTTACTGTGTTTAAACAGTAAAATGTTTTTAGGGGAATTTATGTAAGCGTATTACGGTAGCAAAATGTTTTTAGGGGAATTTACGTGAGGTTAATACAGTAGCAAAATAGTTTTAGGGGAATTTACAAAAATTTAGGGGACTACTATAAAATTATAAAGATCAAAAAATAACTAAATTTTATTATATAAAAACAATTTCACATTATTACTCAATCAAAAAATAATCAACATCAACAATATCTATAATCAACACTTAATAATTTTAATAAAACTAGAATGACGATGAATATGAATTTTTCTAAAGAGCTGAATTTTTCTATAAAGAAAATAATATATTTTTGGAGGATAACTAGAACCGCCTCCACTTATGGTGTCCACTGGGTTACGCTTACGCTAAATAATTCTAATTTTGTTTAGGGGAGTTTACGTAAGCGTAATACGATAGCAAAATGTTTTTAGGGGAGTTTACATTTGCCCATTTAATATGGGTCGCTTATGTTCGGTATTAATTATATGCGACAGTAGAATAAATAAAAGTAATAACGAAAATAGGTAGGTACTACTTTATTTTCATTGCCAAAGGAAGAATCTATCCGTAAATCGCTCACAAATATTGTTAACAATTGTTGTGGTAACAACCGAAATGTTTCGTACATTCGTACTTATGTCATGAACATTTTAGTGGTGAGATTTTTTCTTTGAAAACAACTAACATTCACTTGCATTTCCATATGCTAATCACAAAAATTATTTTTTTTTTGCTTAAAATTACCTACTTATTATGTTACTATGAGAATGACACAACATTCAGGTATATCCAACCAAAATCAAGTCAAAAATCACTAAAAAAAAAAACTTTCTAAATTGGTTGCAACGTAGTAATGCGCATTTATTTTTTTGGAGATAATGCATAATAGTGAATATAATACAATATAATATAATATAAAAAGTTTGACATTGATTTTAATTTTTTAATTTTTGATTCTTATTCAGTTATTACTATATAGTGACTATAACTTATAAGTCACTACGGCTGTACGAATTATCACATAAAAGAATTTACAACAGTACAGTATCAAATAATGCCACTAGAGAGAAATTACGTAGCGAACGTACGACCACCGTACAACTTTGTAGCCACCTTATTTTATACAGTCCTATGTGGTATGTACCTATTTTTTTTTTTTATAGTATAGTTCGTGGTTTGAATAAAAAATCGTTAACAGGAAAATATCCATGGAATATGCAGTGGCCAGTGAAATCATTTATTGTTTAATCCATGATGACAACTTAACATTTTTTACAGCACCATAGAACTGATAGAACCACGGTCTTAGAAGAAGATCTTCTAAGACCGTGGATAGAACGATAGAACAATCAGCACGAATTAAGATCTTAATTCGTGATTTACAGACAGCTGATAGCCGGACTACCGGTGACGCCGTTAGGTAGGCTGTGCGCACTGCGCAGGCTGCAGTTATTGTGCTGTACCGCCGAAGAAGTAGATGAATAACGAAATTCAGGGTTTCAAATTATTAGTCTTCTTGCCCTGTGCACCAGACAAGACTCTAAAAATGAGTAAAAACTATAGGTTAGGACCTTGTAAGTAGAACTATACAGACGTGGTACTGAATACTACGTGTATTATCCTGAGGATATTTGTTCATTTTTGTAACATGTCTCAACTGGTAGAACATGAATAACATTTTTTGTTTTTAACTAGAATGGTTTACTATATAGGTTCCTAATATTTATTTAGAATAATTTAAATGTTTGTCTTTTTACAGTCCATTCCCGATCCATCATTTATTGATGATGAAGTTAGTATGTTTTGTTCAATGTTTGGACTGCGTACATCTTTGTATATTTCCAACCAAAATTCTGGACCATCCAACCAATCAAAAACTCATCCGTGATGATAAAACTGAAAGGAACATCATACATCTTAAACATACAACAATGCTATTTGATCCTCCGTAAGCCACCTGGTAAATGAAGTCAGCGAACGTGTTCCAAGAATTACACACCACAAGCGTGGATGAAGTCAACCAAGGCAACTGATTGCTTTGTACTAATAGTAGAAAAGACAGGTTATTTGATAAAATCCTACTATGTTAAATATTACTAGCAATTATGCTTCATGTTTACAACTGATTAATTGTCAACAATAAGTGTAGATTATAAAGTAGTCGAACAAACATCAAAATTAATTACTGCAGTTTTTCAAATAATTAATCAGGCTATGCTATTCATTTTATGTCTAGCATGATACACTATAAATGTTGCTAGTTAAAGTGATAAAATGTATTTAGGTACTTCAATTGTCTTCGTATTTTTATTGGTACCTACCTACTAATGATTTAATTATTTGGGGGCAACGGAACATTTAGTTGAGAATAATTATTAATACGTTAATTAAGCAATCATTTGTGATTCTGTTAAAATATATATTATAGGGCAATATTGTCAACTTGTATATTAGCAATCGAACCGAAACAACTGGACAAATCAAATGAGACATATAGTCAATATAGAATAGTTGCTCGCACAATCTTCAACTCCTATGGCAGCTAGGTTTAAAGTCCTTTACCTTGGTGACTGGTTCCTGGTAATATATTGGCATATTATTTTGGAATTGTTAATAATTTTGTACCCCTTAATTTTTTTAGTTTTATATCCAGAAGTATACTTCAAACTACCTACTACTTTTATTGATATTTTGTATAATGTATTGTATAGTATTAGTATATTGTATAAAGCTCATTGACTGTGTTTGTTTTTTTTTTTTTTGTAATTAGGTGATACTATTTTGAACAATCTTTTAGATTGGATTAAAATTCATTATGAAAATGCTGAAAATCAAGCATCAGTAATTACAGAAAATAAAATTGCTTATTTAACTGATGAACATGTAGAAGAAAAGTTTACTTTTTATTGGGATACTGTTATTGGACTAGTATTACAAAGAAACATTGACACGGCCAGACTGTTATTGTCCAACCACTCTCAAAGTGACACTGAACCATTTATTCACGCAATAAAAATATTTAAATCTATGCCTACTTATAGTGTAAGTTATACATTTATTAAATTACCATCACATTCAATTCTAAAGTCTGCATTTTTATTAGTTATTTAGTATTTGGGTAGTTATGTTGAATGGTTATATTATTACCTATACCTTACTTTTTTTATAATAAATTCTGGTTTGATTATGTTATTTAAAAATAAAAACAAATATTTTCAAACTTTATGAACATTCAATTTAATTAATTTTTATAGCAGGTGGCAAGAATAAATACATAAGTATTTATTTTTTTTTTAATTATATATTCGGAACTGTGTTATTTTACCAGACACCCTTTTTTAGTAATGTTTTTTCTTTAAAATGACGGTGATGTCAGAATTTGGCGGTCAGACTTGGTTTTGAAGTTATGGCCTAATGAAGTTCACTATTTTGCGATTTTTATTCGCGTACGGATTCGTGCATCACTCTAGTTTACCAAACTATAACGAATATTGATGTTTCTTTTATGAAACTTATGTACTTCAGTGAGTTAAAAACGATGGTGCAAACAGAATTAGTAGGTCAAACTTAGTTTTGAAATTAAAGCCTAATGAAATTTACGATTCTGCGATTTTTACACATTTGCACAATGGTCTATTTAACTGTGCGTTTGATTGTCTTTATGCTATACGATGGTCGATGCTATAATAACTACTTTAAAACATTTTTGGGTAGATAATATTATGTTCGGTTGCAAAACTAAAGGTCATGTGGACCTCTTGTAACCTCACCAGTTACAGTGTTTTAAATAGTGACTAATGCCTCCCTATGCTTACTGGGTCCAGCCGCCAAAATTCAAAAATAAAATGGTTTTGGTAAAGTAACAAAATACCATATATTTTAATTTAAAAAATATTTTTATATACTAGACCATTTTCGAAGAATACATTTTTTCATTTTTGAAAAATTATATGTAATATTTACAAATGCATGTTATTTAAACTTGAAAGTATAAGATAGCTATTATAATAATTAATAATATATGATTTTATTAATATGAATTACTGAATAGATTTGGGACTGTACACCTACTGTGGTTATAAAATAATATTTATTCTTAACCCTTAAGGCTCCAGCATTTAAGTTGTAAGTCAACCACTGGAGTGTTTAGGTTTTTATCTTGGGGAGGGATATGATTTTATCCAGTAGCCCCACTTAACCAGAAATGCTTGCATATTATATGCAGCCTATTATTGTGGGGAGGGGTGATCCCATTGATCCCGCCACTGAAGTCAACGGTATCACCACAATTTTGACCATAAACTATATTAATAATCAAATATTCAATTTCAGATATATGGTGGCCTGCCAATTGCAGAATATACATCTAGATTCAAGGGCTGGCAATCAAGTGCAAAATCCAAATTAGAATGTGGTATATTCTTATCAGATTCAAATCTTAATGATGTTATGAAGGTATATAGTCCAATATTATATTATATATTAATATGTTTATTATAATGGTACATCTATTGAAATTAATCTACAGATTATTTGCGGAGACCCGGATTCTACGAGTTTGATCCGCAGTCACTGTTCAACATGGTTTCAATTTCTTGTCGCTCAACTTATATATACAGATCCTACTGTAAAAAAACATAGCTTAAGCTTATATGCTCATCGTAGCGTTGCTAAATATTATGAAGAATCCGAGTATAATCATATGGATACACTTGCTTTAGATTTGTTTGATGGAGATCTAGAAGGGGTATGCATTTAAATTACTACATTGACTAAAAAAATCAATAATAATTTTAGGCATTAACTATAGGATCTAATTAGATACCTAAAATATTGTGTAATTTTGATACCTTTTATAGTCGTGCTAGAGTGAGTATGATAAGCACATCTATACTACTCTAGTATGGAGTAAAAACAGAAAATTATATTAATAACTAGAGTTCAAATTTTGTAGGCATTTGCTTTTTTTATCAACCCGTCTAATCTAAAGCAATTTTCATTATAAATTTGGTACATACTTTGAAAAATAAAATATTAAATACACAACATTTTACTTTGCTTTGTTTGCTTAACATTTTTTTAAAAATAATTTTTTGCAAATGTGTTCTAAAGTTTCTAAATTAACTTATATTTGAATTACCTGAAAGGTCAATATTTATTTTTATCTCGTAATGTTTGAGTTAAAACCATGGCTTGAAACCGGTTACCATGACCATTTTTGGGTCTGGTAACAGCTTTCCGGTTCGTAAGCTTACATTTTGAAAAGCGGTTACCGGTAACCACCGAGGACAATTAAGGGGTTACTTGTAGCGGTAACCTTTTTTAAAAAAAAAACCGGTCAATTCAACAAAACCGGAAATATCAAAAAAGTTTAAGTTATATTTGATTTTTATATTTTATATTTTTTTTTTGGAAATTGTATTCTATTTTTTTGATTAATAATTTCATTTACAAGATAATAAATGTAATGTAATAATAAGTATGATTAAAGATGGTATACTGTTTGTAGCCACGATAATAAGTAATAATTACCAATATATAGATTATAGATACTAAATACAATTTATTCATCAGTTCAAAGATATATTATTCATTTTAGTTTATTGTAATTGTTGATGTTGATTAACACATTTCTGTGAACTATTATTCAATTGATGGTTATAGGTAATTTACTAATTTAATTTAATTATATTTATCCATAGTTTCAAATGATAAAATATAGCCATATAGATATTAATTTTTTAATTTATAGCTTGTCCTGAACCATATTATAAAGTGGATATTTATTCTGTGTAAATTAAAGTAAAACTAAAATTAAAAAAACATAAATGGAAAAAACCGCTTCCAAACCGTTAACCGGTCACCACATTTTTAGAGATAATTTTGGTAACCGGTAATCAATTACCACTAATTCTAAAAATCCCTAAAACCGGTAACCACTTACAAAAAATCCCGTAACTGAATTTTTCTTAAGCGGTTTCATGCCCTGGTTAAAACTAGATAGCGTCCCTATCAAATTATAAAATATTATTTTAATTTATTAGATTCTAAGCAGAACAATGAATGTATTTGTTTAACAATGAATGTTGTTTCTTTTTTTTGTCTGTCTTAATTTTTGAGCAGATAATTTACTTTATTAAAGGATGGTTTCTGGTACTACTAATTCTTACTAATTAGAAAAATGAAAATTTTTAGAAAAAAAAAAATCAACATTTTAGGGTATAATTGAACATAATTAAAGAAAAGAAGTGTATAGGATCACAAGTCTAAATTTATTAATGACAATTTAATTTGCCCATACATTTTACACTCATGCATACTACATGTTTTGTACATGACATATTTGTCTACATTGTATAACAACAATTTAATTAACAGCCAAAAATTTTGAGTATAACTACAATATTCAGGCATTTTGAAAAACAACACAAAAATACTTTATTGATGCATAAAATTAAATTAATTTCTAAAATAGTGTATTTTTATTTTAATCATTCTTTTTTTTCCTTTAATTTCAGTTTGTAAAAAAATTGAAATCCTATCCTGATTCTGGATGGTCATCTACTCATTTGACTAATTTGTTACATCTGTGTGATAAAATTGAACCAGAGTTTGACATGTCTGAAGAAGTGTAAGATGAGAAATAATTCAATATAAAAAAAAAATAATAATATATAAGTTTTACATTTTCAGAGAAAATACAAATCCAAATGAACAGTATCTCCTTGATTATGGAACATTTCTCATGACTCATCACTCATTGTGGCAAGCTGGTGTCACTTACTTAGATTACTGTTCAGCTGTAGGTAAAGAACATCTATCAATGTTGTTGTCAAAGTTAGAAATAACATCAGATTTGAGAGTGTCAAAAATTTTACATTATGCAACAGCCAGGCGCTTACATAATGTTGGTGAGTAAATTTAAGAAAAACTATTTTACTTTATTAAAATGTATTGCTAATTAATAAAATATATTATCAACTAAAACTATTGATATTATTAGTTTCTAGTGTTTGTAAAGTAAAAGGAATGCTAAGCTTACAAAAATCAGGAATTGGTGAAGCTCTGTGTTGGGCAATAAGAGGGCAAGACAGCGCTTTTGCCACTCATTTAGGTGATCTATACTTGAAAGAATATGTTAAAGGTGGATCCTTTGCTTGTCCAGATATACTGGACAATTTAGGATCAATTGTTGTCACCTGTGATCGTTTTATGTTTATTGGTAAATACTAAATTTTATTATTATTTGTATCTTCTAATACATTATGCTATAAATAAAATTAATGTACCTATATAAACAAATATAAAAAGGTGCTCTGCTATACATTATGTTACAAGTGGGCCACTGTATAATGGATGGTATTAAATTTAAATTCAATGACATAATATCATTGTATAAGAAAAACGATTCTGAGCTGAGACGGTATGTCAGTCTAGGTATAAGACATATTACATACATATTTATGGTATTAAAAATAAAATTGACCTATAATAAACTTCAAATTAATCATATCACAATATCCATTAGGTACTTAAAACGCGTTATACATCAATAACAAACCTTGATACTATCATAGTCCATAGATATATAGTACTTAGTATTCTTTAGAAGTTTCAAGTACCCACAAATAATATTATACAATCACAACAAAATAACTATACTCCGGCCCACGAGAGTCCATACGTAAACCGCGTATCAATATAGTAATACGCGACGTCTGTTTTTTCCCACCATGATGTCATTCCCACTATTCGGCAACATGCAGATGCGCAGTGATGGACGTGTTTGGACATATGGACTCTCGTGGGCCGGAGTATAAAATAGTTATTCTAGGGTTTTTAATATGCAATTTCGTCCAAACTTGAACTTAAAATGAATATAGAAATAAACTGTGCTTATGTATTTTTTAGATTTTTTGGTAACAGAGTTAACTACATAGAGTTACAACAAAGTTGAACATTTTATACATTTTTAACTACAAAATAATTATTCAATTTTAAATTTGATAAATTTTGTCAAAATTCGATCTTTAAATGCTTATAAAAAAATTGTGCATGTGTATTTTTAATATTTTTCAACTGCTATTTTAACAATATATCAGGAGCTTTGTATTAAATTTTTATCCTTTTTGGCCCAACAGATAAAACTTAACTGATATTCAAAGGATAAAAAAATTTAAATATGAAATTGTCTGTAAACAGCTCAAAACAATTCAAAATATTTTGAAAATTGTATGGTGTATAGAAAATGCCAATATAAACATTCAGTGATATTTTCAAGTATCTACAGTCATTCGTTTTTGAATCATAACAAAATAAAAAAATTGGTACATGAGAAATCGAGTGAATATCCAATGTTGTAAAAATTTGAATTTCAAACGCTCACAAAAATATAATTTGATTTTCCGGTAGAGATTTTTTTATTGATAAAGGTAGACATACTTATGAGTAATCTTGTATTAGATTTAAAAAGAAAAATTTTTATGATTTCTTAACTCCAAATGATTTGACAAATTTTGTGATTTTTCCATGTTTTGTCAAGATTTGAAGTTTAAATGCTTATAAAAATAAACTGTGACTAATTATTTTTAATATTTTTCAAATGTCAATGTAACATTATAGTAGGAGCCTTGTATTAAAGTACTTTTACTCAACAAATAAAGTTTTATTGACATTCATAGAAAAAAAAACTAATAAAATTGGAAACTGAAAATATCTCTAAACGGTTCAAAATAAATGAAAATATTTTGAAAATTTTATTGTGTTTAGAAAATGGAAATATAAACAACCAGTGAAAATGTCATGTATCGTCGGTCATTTGTTTTAAAGTTACACCAAAAACCAAAGTAGATTTTGTGAAAAATTGATTTTGCGTAAAAATTCTTGCTTTTCCTTAATTTTTTCTTCGTTTTTCTTGGCGCTTTTGAAAATTACTTTGAATTTTAAATTTTGTCCTCCTCAATGCACCAACAATATTCACTCTCCCATCGAACAAGATACTGAAGTTGTAAATCGAAGCATTATTTCGACTACTATTCGTGTACACAGACACAAAAAAAAAAAAACACATTGTAAAATCAATAAATTCATTTTTCCACTCAGAATCTAAAATTTATTTTAAATTTAACTATTTAATATGAAACATCTTCAATATGGTAAAGTTGAGAAAGTAAATTGTTGGATGTAAAAATTATTATGTCAATAATAATAAATAACAATAGTATTTGGGAAGATTCACCAGGTATACACACATTTTTTTTCTTCAATAATTAAAGAAACCTTTTGCATAATATAAGGTATAGGAGGGTTTTTTAACTTTACATTTGAATGAAGGAAACCTTAAGGAACAATAAATTAACAATAGTGCATGTTATTGGTGACCAGATAAGAGTGGCATAAGTAACATTTTTTAATGCCTATTAATTTTTTTAATTCAGAGCTGTTTTATTTTAAAAATCCTAATTTTGATAATGTTATATTTCTTCTTTTATCAGTGTGAAAACTAAAGTTTAATTCCTCATTAAATAAACTCTTAAGTAATTTACAACAGACAATCATTCAATTGATGAATCAAAAAGTTAATAGTCATAATATATAATATTTGATTTTTTTATACATAAATAAATTAGGTATAGTACATTTGGTAATATTGGGATCCTGTTTATTAGTAATGCATAATTTTTGAAAAATATATAAATCTAACTGCAACTTACCCGACTCATAAAAAAAAAAAACTTCAACTTAGAGCATTTATTTATGAATCAATAATTATATAAATATAATTATTTCTTCGTAAAATCAAGAGTAGAACCTAGATGTCAATATTATAGTTTTAACACAGTTTTGTCACAAAGAGACTTTTTTTTTTATTAATATTATTTTTAAAATTTTCTTGACAGTCATCATCTAAATTTATGTATATAAAATTAAATTTTTTAACGTTTAAAAATTGGATCACAATATATGGTATAAATACTAAATAGCAAGAACTCAGTATTAAAGTGTAACAATTTTACAATACGAACAATAACACAGAGAGAAAAGAAAAATCTTTTTTTTTTATTTACATATATGTGTGATGCTTGTTAATTATTTAGGAGTGGGATATTGTTTATTAGGCATGTTAGAGCAGCTAGGAGGGGGTTTTGGACTAATTTTAACTCGTTAAGAGACTTATAAAATCGTACATACCATATGCGAAAATTGGGCCAACTAACCAACCTTCACCAACAACTTAAACAGCCCTCCCAAATATTTACTAAATTTTTTTAGGCTTATTCAATTTTATAATGTTATGGTTTTATGCTTCGACCCCCCAAATCTCAAAATTAGTGCCTATTGTTCCCAACCAATACCTAACTTTTGTAAGATATTTTTCAATGTTATCCAAATATGGTTTCTCCCGACAATTGTATGTACATTTAAGTTAAATAAATATGCACAAATATACTAATCATCGCTCAAATGTACACTTTTCCTAAAATATGCAAATTCTTTTTTTTTTTTTTTTTTTCGCCATTTCATAAGACAAATTTATAACTTATCTAAAATAATCTATGACCATTGCAATAAAACATGCAAGCAGTCCCGAACCCTATAAACAATATATTTATTAGGGGAAGAAATGTCAATGCAGGATGGGGGGGGGGAGGTTATACATCTAAAATCCCCTGGCTACGCCACCGATCAGAGAAAATATAACCTTATCTGCTACAGTGAAACTTCCATATTACGAAACTCCAATTAACAAAATTTTCTATTTATCAAAATATTTTGGATAACCACATTTATTTAAATTATATGAAATAAAGTTTTACCTAACCATATGTATAATATATATATATTTTTTTAGGAAAGTATATACAATTTCTTAAACTCGCTACGGGTAATAAACTCAACGAGGCCGCATTATTGTACATAGAACTCTTAAGATCTAATATTTGTCCAAATTAGTAAGGATTTATTTTACATTACACAATATTTACTTTATATTAATATGCAATTGTTTTTAATTACCTTGCACTGTTTTTAGTTTTAGACTAACATTATTAATGGATGTTCTAATGTTCAACGACAATAGTAATGAGTGTTACTTTAATATCGCTGACATGTCTTTAATTGCAATGCGCTTGGATGATGCCATTACAGAATGGAATGAAGACAATGAATCTGACAATCAGTATTTATTAAGCAAAGTGTTTAATATTCGTCAAGGTATTGTTAAACTAGTGTCTATCAGTTTAATAGGAAAAAAAATTATTGTGTAAAAAAATACTTTAGTATTAAGATTTTTATTTAAGTATTTACTATCTTTTTAATTACAATAATTAATAAAAATATATAAGAAATGTGAAAATAAATCAGTTTTGTTTACTCAATTATCAAAATGTATTATTATTTTAACATATTGTTGTATTCACTTATATTGATAGGAAAAATAACCCTACTGACACGACCATTTATAATAGTATAAAATTAAATATTATTAATATAATATGGATCAAGGTACATATGGAATATAATAACTATTATTGTGCTGTACATAATTTATTATTAAATACAGACAAACAGATTTCATCTAATGGTTTAGCACTTACAGAAAAGTTAGTTAGAACTTAAAGGTTTTCACAAATTATTAACCATTCTATCTCAATAGGTGTGATACTCATAACAACAAGTAACGCCAAGTTAACATTTAAGATTCAACTCAAAATATTTGATTTATTTTAGTAATTACTCAATAATATCTACAAAAATACAAATTTTATATTATCTAATTCTAAAAAAATACTTGAAAGGTACTAAAGTCACAGAAGACACATAGCCAATTGTCATATACCATGATTTACTTATCCAGTTTTTTGTGTTGATTTATAATTGATTTTAGTCTACTAAAACTTTCTGACTTAACTAAATTATTAAGTTTGTAACAATACGTATATAATATACATTCATTTAGTTTTTAACTCTAATGTCTATGTTCTAAAAATCATACATATGCCCTAACTTAATGTATACTGTTTTCTTTAATTATAATTACTTATTAGATGTATGGACAATTATTTATTGTGTACAATGGTTTTGTGTCGAGTTAGTGAACTAATTTGGGGATATGTCTTATTACATAGTTCGCATTTATATGGTCTTTCACCAGTATGATTTCTTCTATGAACTGTCAGAACAGTAATATTTATATAAGACTTGGGACAAAGGTCACACTTGAACGGTTTTTCAACTAGATGAGTTAATTGATGTTTTTCCAAAGCTTGTTGATTTTTAAATGCTTTGTCACACAATTTGCACGCATACTGCCTCAGTTTAAATTCTTCGTGAGTAGTCTTGTGAACCTTCAGTTCTTTGGGGTCACTGTAGAATTTATTACAAATATCACATGTATGATTTGTTTTTTTATGCCTATTCAGAGATACAATTGCTGGATACGTTTTTCCACATAAATCACACACAAATGGTCTGGCACCTGTGTGTTGATTTAAGTGATTAGTATAATTATGACGAGAAATAAAACTCTTTTTACATATGTTACAAACATATGGTTTAAAGTCTTTATGAATTTTTTCATGTTCATACAATTGAGCATTTTGCGAGAAACTTTTGTTACAAACTTTGCATTTATATTTTTTAATAGTTTCTAAGTGTGTTTGCAAATGATTTTTAACACCAGTTTTACTAACAAACTTTTTATGGCACTTGTCGCATTCAAAATTTTTATGCTCATAATGTGATTTTTTATGTCTTCTCCAATCAGTTAATTGAGTAAACTGATCTCCACAGATATCACATTTATAAGGCTTTTCACCTTTGTGTAGTCTTTTATGGCACTTAAAATCAAAATAAGTGCTACAACTCTCATCACATAGAGTACATTGATATGGTTTTAAACCTTCATGCCTTTTTAAATGTTGTGTAAGAGATTTATTCATTGAAAATGACTTGCCACATTCAATACATTTGTATGGTCTGTATCCAGAATGGAGATCCTGATGTTTCTGCAAAGAATTCAACGATACAAATTCTTTTCCACACATGTTACATTTATGTATGTTTGAGTCATGAGACAACATATGGATTTTGTAATACTTTGATTTAAGGAACTTTTTTGAACACAGCGAGCATTTATATCTCTTGATAATTTCATGTGAAAACATGTGAGCTTCTAAATTAAATTTGGCGTGAAAACGTTTATTACAAATGTTACACTGGTATGGTCTCTCACCTTTATGTAATCGTTGATGAGCAGCAAAGTGATATAAATGTATATATGTTTTTAGACAAACATCACATTTGTATGGTCTGTCTTTTTTTTTATTACGTATCACTTCATCACTTAAATATTTTTCAAAGCTCTTGAGTGTATAAAATCCATTGTAACATTCTTCACATTCAAAATAAAATGGTGTTCCTGGATGGAACCTAACAGGATATTTACAAGAATTCGGACTACCAATGTACTTGCAACAGTTGATACATTGATCGATACGAGGTTTTAGATGATCTATAATACTTGGACGATCATGAAATAGTAAACTGCATTTTGCACAATTATACATTTCATCATTTTTATATTCTATTTGACCAACTGAATTTGCAGCGTTCGATTCATCCAAACTAATATGTTTACGATTTACTGGGGCACAAGAATCAACTGCATTTCCAACAGTTAAATTTGAATTGATACTACACTCTTTGGTTAATAAAATATTTTCAATTTCTACTGAAAACTCTAACTGAACTTTGTTAATTGTTCTCTTTTGAATTGGATCTTCGCCTTCGGAATGACTTGTCTTCAATCCATCAAGCATAGTAATGTTATTACTAAAAAAAAAAGTTAATTGTAAATAACAAAAAAAAAATTAAATTATCATTGTACATACCATAAATTACTGTTACAATCACCAACATCATTACACTCTTGAATAAATTGATTTTCAAACAATTTTATATTATTGTCTATATGAGATATCAAATGGCTTTTAAGACCATTCAATTCAAAAAACTGCTCACAGCAAGATATACAATTAAACTTCTTGATATTTACATGAAGTGATTTGTGAACTTCTAAATTGTATCTGTTTTGAAAACTCTTATTACATATGTTGCACTGGTATTCCTTTTCAAGATTGTGTATCCTTCCACCAACAGTGGGTTTAGGATTGTTACAATTTTCTATTGGATTGATAACATGAGCTTTTTTTTTATTTATACTTCTTAGTATTTCAATTTCCATTTCGCTTTTGAACATACAATCGTTAACTACTGTTTCATCTTTTTCAGTTTTAATTATTGTATTAGTTTCTTCATTAACACTAACAGTCCTGGAAATAAAATAATTTTAACAAATAAACTATAAGATCAAATAATAATTAAAAATTATTTACCAAACATTTGGGTTTTTATGTTTATTTTTGTCAATATCAGTAAATTCTTCTTCATTGTTGTCTTCTATCTCATTTTTAATACTAATATCATTACTTACTAATTGTTGAGTGTAATCAGTCTCAATTTTATTATTTTTATGTTGTATATCTATAAGTTTTTCCATTATATTTTGATACTGAAACATACATATAAATACAGTATAAGTAGGTTTTTTAAACATTTTAGATAGAACTTCTTAATATAACATATCTTAATTCTTAATGAAGAGTACAGATTCTGTGGGTCTATAAATAATATAATAAATAGTAAACCGTAAAATGTGTAAGAACGTAGAAGTAGACTGTATACAAATTAAAAATACTTGCTTTAGCTTAATATAATACCTATTGTATTAACGATGATAAAATAAACTCTGTGGTAACAAATTACTTTATAGGTACCTACAATAGCCTGTTGTATAAATTACTTGCTTATTTAGGTACTCGATTGCTGTGTTGTGTTTTAGTAAAATGTCAGCATTAGGCGGCGATTTATATCCACATTTCGGGGGTTGAACTCTGACTTTTGGGTCTGGGAAAAAAAACGCGAAGAAATTCCTAAGTCCATATCACATCTATAATATTCTCACTACAGCAATACTCTGCAGTGTTGCCATAATAATAATTTTATGTACCACAATAATAATTTTATACTACGTAACATGAACTACTACCACGATTTAAGATAATATATAGTACTATCTTAAATCGTGACTACTACACAGGACTGGACACTACAGAGAAAATCACGGACACAAAGTTGTACAAGGTTCGTACATAGATAATATATGGGTTCGTACACATGCGATGTAACTGCACTCTGCCTGTTAGTAGTACGAACTACGTTTTTTATAGGATAACACTAAAGAATAGTGATATTAGTGATAATAAATAATAATAAATAGTAAATGCCTTGGTGCTAATGCTAAATAGTAAGTTTAATAATGATTTAATAGCTGTCAGTTTTTGACGTTTCTGTAGGTATATAAAAAAAATATCAATGTAGTCATTCCATTTCACAGCCTGTCTTTCCGAACTAAGCTAATATAGCAAATTAGTAAAATCATTTTATGATTGTATTAGTTTGAAAATTAAATCTAGTTTAAACTGTGTGATTACTGATGAGTATTCAGTATAATTTAACTTTTAATTAATTAAAGGTTCTATATAACTAATGACTCTGTACCTTAAGAATCTTTTTATCGTGAAGCCGGTTTCGTACATTTTTTATTAAATGTGGAGCATCAGACAAAACAAAAATTTTCCTTTTTCCATTTGTTGGGTGTATAAAGAAGTTTTTAAAATTACTTGTTGAACCACTAACTCCAAATTCTGCCCAAAGCCTTCTATTTGTAGCTGCACCATCGCAGACAATTGCATCAACTTTTGCACCAACATTTTCCAACATTACTATGGATTTTACAACAAGTTGAGCTAATATGATACCTATAATAGAAATAGAGAGATAAAATGTGTTTTATGATACATATAATATAACTACTGCTTAAAGAGTGAACAGTTTAAGCATGAACTACTAAGGCGGTATTTTATATAACAAAATATTTCTTATCTCACAGATGGCGCTGTGTCGCATGTGTACCGAATATGTACAACTTTGTGGACGATCCCCTACTCTCCTCCTGCCAATAGTGTAAAGTCCTGTGTAGTAGTTCATGCTACGTAATAATCACAAAAGTATTCTAAGGTCAAAATAATCAATTTATTCACTCGTTCATTTTCCAAAGTAATTAAGTCCAAAATAATATTTCAAAAGTGTAAACTATTACGACCACCTAGGCTTTCGGATTTTTGATTTTTCCATTTTCCGACCGCTTTTCACGGACCCCCTTGGCTTTTGGGTCTGGGAAAAAATGTCGAAATATCGAAAAACGTCTAAGAGGTTTTTTATTCGTATATCGTATTAGAAAAACATCCGGTAGTCACATTTTTGATTTTTCCATTTTTAATTAATTATTTTTATTATTAAAAGTGATTTAAAACGTAATAACGTAACGTAACGTTATTCGTTACATAAAATATTCGTATTTGAATTGCATTCGCCTTACTTGAAATTATTTTTATGACTAGTACGTTACTTTCCTTTTTCATTCAAAAAGTAGAGCTCCACAAATATCGTTAATTTTTAAAAACTAAAAATTACAACTGCCCACGAAATGTACATTATTTATTTTTTATTAAATATATCAAACAACTATAATTAATGTTGTACCTATTTAATAAATATATTGTTTATTTTAATGTCTTATATCATATTTTTTTAAATATATAATAATATATTTATTTAATATGATATAATCATAAGAACTTTAAAATGTGGTGGCCCTAAAAAGGGCCGTTTTAAATGAGTGCGCTAATCACGCAGCGGCGGATCGTCGAAGTTATCTGTGGAAATAAAAATTTAATATTATCGGTTTTTTATAGTTTATATGCACCTAAAGTGGAAATTTATCTGTGGAATTAAAAACAATATTATCGGGACATAATATTAACCTAGGTATACAAAATTATATTTCATAACATTTTTTTTACCAAGGTAGGTTAGGTTAGGTACCTCTAGCATTCTGGACAGTGACAATCGTCAATGTCCCGTTTCATTGGTTCGTATCCAATGCCCGGATATGCCCTTGCAATGTCGTTCATAAACCTTTTGAAACGGTCGCTGGTTGTTGGAAGGCGGTTCAGTATATTGGTCCGATACATCCATTCGCCAATGTATGAATCCGCGAATCCGCCACCCGCTTGCAATTGCATCTTGTTAAGATGCGTTTTAATTCCCTCCACGATCTTTCTATATGCTGCGTGTGGTAGCGGATTGCAAACCATGGTTCTTGGTTTGGTGGCCGAACTCCTTCCCACTGCTTATCTAAGCACTCTTGGCTAAATCTGCCAGTCCCTACCCAAATTGGTGGCTCATTTTTTGGAGGCTCTACAAAGTTGATTGAATGGTTTACCACTCCATGACCACTAAAATGATTTTTTTAACTACACTAAGAACAACTCATAAATAACCTTGTATTATATTTTCAAGATTTTTTGGAGAGCCAAATTTTTTTTATTCATATTTCAAAAAAATAAACTTAAAAAATTCGAAAAATTAAATTGTCTATAAATAGCTCAAAATAAGTCAAAACAATTTGAAAATTTAACCCTGTATAGATAACGCTAATATAAACATTTAGTGAAAATTTCAAGTGTTTACAGTAATTAGTTATTAAGTTACAGTAAAATTAAATTTTCGTTTTTGTCGAAAATTGGTTTTGCGTGAAATTTCCCGTTTTTTTGTTACTTTTTTAGGGTTTTTCCCGACGCTTTTAAAAAGTATTGGAAATTTTACACTTTAGTACCAACTAGATTCACTACTCTTTCAGAAACGGTGCTATTTGTGAAAATCAAAGCATTATTACTATTCCAAATCGTGATGACAGACACAAAAAAAAACACACATCATTGTAAATCATTCCTCACTCCGTTCAGAATCTAAAAATATCAATAAATCGATATATAAATAGGTGTTGGTTATTTTCAATCGCTGATATTTTCAAACAAAATATACTATTTTTCATTTATTTCGAAATATTTTATACTATTATGTATAATAATTTATACACACATTTTTCAATTTATTTTTTCATTATTTTAGAATTATGAATTCTCAAGAAATTTCTGAATTTTTAAATTCGAGTTTGCAAGTTCACTTAATGATTTGTCTACTGATCAAAACAGCGTAATATGCAGTACGCCTATACCGAATGACACGATCGACGATTCTTCTATTGTTTCGTTTCCTTCTACTTCTGGATCTACGATAAATCAATCTTTGATTCATCCATTTATGAGAAATAATTCTAAAAATGCTGTTAAACGGAAATTAACCCACGATACTGGAGAATATATTTTGGTGTCTCGTGAAGGAAAAAGTGACACGTGGAAAAAATTTCAAAATGTTATGCAAATCGTTCAAAATATCGACAACCCTGATGCTCCCGAACAAATTTTAACAGAATATGTTGCTTGTATAAATTGCAAGGAACTCTACGGGAATAAATCAGCGACAGCTACACTTAATAGACACAAATGCAGTTTAGATAAAGGTTTGCAAAGATCTATTGATATATTTATTGAAGAGAAAAGTAAAAAACAAAAAATAATACCAAAAGAATTAAAGATAAAAGCAATTGAATAATGCGTTGAATTTTGTTGTATGGATATAAGACCAATGTCCGCAATTGAAGGTGAAGGTTTGAAGAATTTGTGTCAGTTTTTATTAGACACTGGTAGAAAGTATGGACCAATTGACATTTCGGACCTTTTGCCTCACCCGACTACCATATCAAGACACGTTGAAAAAAGTACTAAAGAAATCAGAAACAAACTTTTTAAAGATCTATTTTTTATTATAAACAAAAAATATTGTGCTTCAACCTGTGATATGTGGACTGATAATTATCGTAAGAATAGTTACATGTCGGTAACTCTGCATTACATAGATGATAATTGGGAATTAAACTGTCTTCTACTTAAAACTGGTTTATTTCCAAGTAATGAAGTAAAAACGGGTGACAATATAAAACGTTTCATGTTGAATTTTTTTTGTGAAATATCTGATGCAGCAGATGAGCCAACATTTGATTTAATGTCAAATATAACTTTTGTTACCGACCAAGGTTCCAATATGTTAACAGCTCTCAGAAATAACAATAGACTTAACTGCTGTGCTCATTTAATTAATACTGTATTAAGAAATCTGTTTGATTCAAAATTTTTGAATCATGAAGAAGACGGTAATGAACTTTTGAATCCAGTAGTGATATTACTAAACAAATGTAAACATTTGGTAAAATTTATGAAAAGCTCGGGTAAAAATAGTGAACTTAGTCAAGGACTTGTACAGGAAGTTGAAACGAGGTGGAATACAAGGCTTTTAATGTTTCAATCAGTGAAAAGAGCACTTCCAGAAATAATTCAACTACCTATATGGAGAACATTTCAATCGTATACAAAATATTAATACAGAATTACTGGAAAAAATTACAATTTTTTTGGAACCATTTATGATTGACATCTGATGAACTAGAGGGTAATAAGTATCCGACTATTCAAAAGGTTGTTTTATACCAACTGTTATTGAAAAAACATTTAAAAACATATGCTGAACTTCAAGAGGACATATTTGATGCAAATGAAGAACTTACACCCAACTCAATAATGCAAAAATTAGGAAAACGAGGTTTAGAGTTCATGGAATCTAAATTTAAGTTGGCCGAAGAACACGAGATTGCCATTTTTTTATCGCCAAAATTTAAATGTCTAAAAATGTTTTCAGAACCAAATAAATCACGTATATTTCAAAATATAGGATTAAAGTTGTTAGAAATTGAATTAAAAGAAAATACAACTCCAGAAAACCTACACCAGGAACATAATGTTACCATACAAAAAAACACTTCGAATAGCTCACTATTTTCAGAATGGGAAGATGGTGAAAATAATGAAGATTTAGACAATAGGCGTAAATATGAAAAAGAATTGGAAGCTATTTATATAAGCAATTTGTTAGATTTTTGGAAGCGTCAAAATCACATTTTTCCACATTTAAGTGTATTAGCACGACAAATTTTGGCTATTCCAGCTAGTAGTGCTAGCAGTGAACGCTCTTTTAGCGTTGCTGGAAGACTAATCGAAGAGCTTAGAAGTTGTCTGAGTGGTACAAGTGTAGATTCGATTTTGTTCTTAAATAACCATTTTAAAAATAAAAAATGAATTTATTTTACTATTATTTAAATGTTATTTTACTATTATTTTTAAATGAACTATCAAGTATCAACTAATAATTATTTTAATATTAATTATTTTCACATTAATTTTATTTTAAATATAAAGAATTTAGCTAAAAAACGTATCTTATAGTAACTAGGTGCGGCACAGTAAAATCTATAATTTTTCTAGCATATTATAAATGTTATATATTTTAATTTGAAATATGAAACATTTTTTTTGTGATTATTATAATAAACGGTTAAAAGAAATTAAGTTGTACTTATTTTCCGATATTATAGGTACATATAACAATACATTATATGTACTTACCAACTGTATTAGTACAGTTATTCAGTATTTTTTATAAATATAGGTGTATTATAAATTGTAGGTAGATCGTAGATACACCGATCGCAATGTTAATAGTTAATACCCATGGCCCATATTATCTATAGTGTTATATGAATACCAAAATAGACTCACGACAGCTAATAATATCAACTCTAACGATACATAGAAAATCTTAATAGTAAGTTAAAGCATTTTTAATTAATACATATTATTATAAATTATAATATTATTACGATAGAAATGTGCTGATTTTTTTTTTTGTTTTATTGTGACTTGAAAATTGTTCTAAAACATGGTATGGAAGAAAACATGACCGACACATAATGACGAGTGATGACAATATAGAATAATATTATTGTGGCCATGTCTGAGAATTTATGTTATATACCTGGCAAATGTATTACACTTTCACTCGGTACTCGATAAAGGTCGGACCACTTATTGTGCGGTATTGCCTATAATTATTATATTATTGTACAACTGTCAAAACACTCATACCGTCGAAATGTGATTTCCAAGTACAGTAATAAATACCTGTTACAAGATTTGTTCAGATTAGAATATTAAAACTCAAGTCAATATTTTATTATATTGTAAAAATTGACTTATACACTCGACAATACGAAAAAAGCAACAATAGTTTTTTGTGTTCACAATTTTTTTTTTTTTTATTTATCGAACAAAAACAATATGACATTTTTAATTTTTAATATAATTTCAAAAACGGAAACAATTTTGGAAACGTTTGCCGTTATATTATACAATTTTGTATGTTCAAAAAAAAGTTAGAACAAAAAAGAAAAAGCCGAAATTTATAAAGTCAATATTATTCGATATAAGTAAAGAAAATTTAAATGGGAAAAAAAATACGACGGACAGGAGACACAATAAACTAGGAGGGGACGGGATGGCGATTTGGTGTGGATATGCAATGATGTGGCCACAGGTCACCTCTGCACGTCCCCACGACCGGTCCACCAGGTTGTCGAGTGTCACGAGCGCGTTTGCTCGGACGCGTGACGACCTTGCCCAGCTGGCGAGGCCAGACCGAGACGGCCACGGGAGCGACTACGGTTGACGGCGACGAGCGGCGGCTATATCGCGCGATGTCGTGCGCGTCGACGGTTGTGGACGGTGACGACTCTGCGACGGACGGCGAAGACCAATAGACACGCGGAGAGAGTGAATAGAGATTTTGTGCTGCGGAACAGTTTGCGACGCGGCCGATGTGGGATTGCCACGGGACGAAAAGGCGAGAGTCGTCGGATCCTTGACTCCCGGTAATTTTCGTCCTGGCGTCGTCCCTTCTTCCGCGTCTTCGTCCGATGACCGCCGCCGGACCAGTTAACTAACCTAACTAGTCTGAGTTCCCTCGGGTCCGGCGCCGCTCACGTCCGTGTTCCTAACACATAATCTCTACACCACTGACTCACCCCGTGCCAAAGTCTCCGCCGTTGCCGTCGAAGCGAGTCGCCATCGCCGTCATCGTCATCGTTGGTACCGTCGGGGCGGAATCGTTGCCCGCGTCCGTACCTATGCTATAGCCGCCGCGTCGTCGTCGTTGTCGTCCGTCGCTCCGCGTGACCGTAACTACAGCCGGGCTCTCGCCGAGCCGCCAGAGGGTCTCTCGCGTCAACTACGGCCGAGCGCGCTACGCCCGCGAACCCGTCTCGCTGGTAGTGGTCGGAGAACGTGCGCGGGTGACTTACCGCCGCGCACCTTCCGTGCTCTTTCCCGCATCCTCCCCTTCTTTGCGTCGCCGTCATCCTGTCCGTCGTCTTCGGCCCAAGTGGGCTGTGCTAATAGTATTAGCTCCGGGCGGTTTTACAGCCGCAGCAAAACAACACGCGAAAAACGCGTTTTACACTTTTCCACGTAGATTTTCTACGTGGAGAAACGGGTTTTTCGAGTTCTACTGCAGGACTCTCCTTACCGATTAGCTCACTGTCGATCACAGCTATTTCCTTGGCCGGTTGCTCAATGTCTCCACATAATACGTCTTCTGCAGCTGCAGGCATCACTACGTCTTCTACAGCTGTAGGCATCACTACGTCTCCTGCAGCTGCAGGCATCACTACGTATTCTACGGCTGTAGGCATCACCATGTCTTCTGCAGCTGCAGGCATCACTACGTCGTCGTGAGGTCCGCCCTCGGAAGTCGGATTTGGGTCGACAGTCCCCAACTCCGAGGACGGTGCGTCGCCACCCGACTGCGATTCCTCCTGAACTGCTGATGATTTTGTCGAACTGTCGTTTTCTTGGACAGTATAGCCGAGTGGTGCTGTCTCGGGGGTCTGATCTGCGAGAGACAGCGCATCGCCACTCGGCAATTCACTGTCCAAGACAATTGACTCATCAAAATGTTGTTCGTTCTCGTCGTCGTCCGGAATCGAAGGGGTTTCTTCTGGCTCTGGCCCTGGGGACTGCACGTCACCACTAGAAGTCGTTTCCATACCAATGGAAGATAGAGGATCCGTTACTAATTGTATGAGGCTTTCGTCGTCGCTCTCATGAAGATAAACGCCTTCCATTACACCGATTACAATGCTGCGTATAAATTCGACTAATGCTGCCTGTACCTCGTTGCTTTCATTGTTGACAGCCATTTTTTATTTGAAAGTAGGTAGGTATATGTGTCAGTTATAATTGAGAATTGCTAGTGAGCTAAATACAAGTCTCCCAACACAGAGACCGATCAATTCTAAAATCTCCCAGGCGACGACTTGTATCTATAAATTGTTATATATAGCCAGATAGTACGTTCATCGTTCATCGGCTCACAGCATTACCTTTTCGAGCCCGTTAATTTTTCTAAAGACTTTTATTATTATTATCATTATTATTGATATAGTATAGGTAGGTACCTAATATTCTGGTATTACGATTTGTATTACTCTGTGACTCGATGTATACTAAAAAGGCTTAGCCGCCCAGAATCTTAAAGTTAATTTGTTTGTTAAGTTAAATAATATATAACTGATAATATTACATTTGTGTCACCTTTTTGACTTAATCCTAATTGAATATTTTACACTTTTTGTGTGTTATTCATGACATTTTGATATTATCTTCAAGGCCGCAGTTGGAACAAATTTTCGTGAGAGGTTTAAAACTAAATTATATATTTTCATGATATAAAAACCAACTAAAAAAGAAATTTATATATTATAATAATTTATATAAATAATGTTTTTTATAAATAACCTACCTACATGTGTGATAAAATGTGTATTTTAAATTAAATATTTTTATAGTATAAAGTCTAATAGTTTTTTTGCGAAACAATCGTCATCTAGATTAATTTAAATTTTTCTATGTAAACATTGTAAACTAATATACACTCAAAAGAGCTAAACGTGTAAAGGCCCTGTCACAGTATCACACACGCATCCGATCCGTCAGGGCATCCGTGTACTAGGAAATACGAACTTATTGTTTTTCAATGGATATTTTATTCATACTCATCCGAGCTGAATCCGGTCTGAGCTTTCTGAGATCACTCCGATGAACTTTATCTGAAGAGTTTCGTTAATAGTTTTATTTAATCTTTTCGTGGTAGAAGATATACCTACGTCCTGGAGATTAGGTCGTAACTTTTAATGTACTATTGTATCTCATAGTTTCAAAAGAAAATATATAATTGGAAAAAATTCATAATTTAAAATTGAGAAGTTGACTTCTCCCAACTAGCACTTTGCTTTAAAAACTTAAAAATTTCACATATAGATATTTTGCTCGGAAATGTTCAGAATTCGCATAGGTACCCTTGGCGTTTTACCAGAAGGCAGAAATCATATTTTTTTAGTGTAAGTATGTATTATCGTCATTTTAGAACTACCACTGAAAACCAAGGATAGGTATATGCAGATTCTGAGTATCCTTCCAAGTAAAATTTAGCAAATTAATTGCACAATAACTTTGCAGTTTTTAAGTTTCCTGGTCAAAGAGGGAGGAGGGAAACTTTACAGATATATTGTGACCTTTATCTAATCTGCAGAACAAAAATGAATTTCAATTTTAATTCGTATTAACATTGATTTTAGAATATTCTAAAATCAATGGTATTAAAAAATCTATAGTTCTACTATCAAAAAACCATAACAGTTTGTAAATTTAACAAATATGTTGTTACTTGTTAGTCCTATAATAAAAATGAACTACCCAAAAGTACTTATGCAATATGTAAAGTATAATATTCAATAGAACGTCAGGGCGACGAAACAGTTTATGTAGGTATACTAGGTACATTATTCTTGTATTTGTTGTCTACTGACTAAATACTGGTTAGGTCGGATAAGAATTCAGAGGTACCTTGTATGTGATAAGCAGGGCTAGGATTTGTATGCAACAGCATGTTTTTTTTGTGACTTCTAATTATTGATTTTGTCAGTAATGTCCACGAATCACGTCATGATGAGATAAATGGTGGTGTTTTTATTTTGCATGTTTTTGCATATTTTGGATAAAATGCATATTAATGCATATATCGAATAAAATGAATAATATTGCATATTTCGATTATAAAAATGTGAAAAATGCATGTTTTATAGTATATTTTGTAATTAATATTTATAATTGAATATTAATATTTCGTATGTAATTCTAGCTCTGCTGATTAAAGTATAAAACTTGGTTTTTTTTGTCAAACACTA